AACCATGCATTGGTAATTTTGTAATATCGTTGAACTTTAAGAGCATTATATATGTCTTAAGTTGTAAAACATTGTGAATGTTTTGGTTAATGGAAATTTGTTATAACATTGCATGTGTTCAATGTATTGTAGAAATGGAGATATATCATGAATGTTGAATATGATATAAAATTGTGAAACATGTATGTAGAAATTATTGAATTTCGGGAAAAGCATGTTGTTGATACATATTGAGATATGTGGTGAATTGCCTCTTGAATAGAGATGGAAAGACCGGTAATGGGTCGAGTTGTTAAATTTCGCATTGTAATAATGTTGGGAATTGAGAAAATCTTGTTTTTGAAAAACCTGTATTTAATTTCGGGGACGAAATTCTTTAAGGGGGGAAGGTTATAGCGATCCCGGTTTTCCCTTTCTGTATCTGTTGTATTCCGGACTTTGGTTCCGTGGAGCTAGTAGTTGTATCTACTTTGTTGTCGTCCTTTGATTCCATTTGTTTGAGTTATAGGTTATGTTAAGTTTGGTTGTTACAGGTTGGTAGAGCTTTGGTTCCCATAGTTGCTACCCAGTTTTGTATGGTCCGCTCAAGCAGGTCATTCTGTGCTCGAGTGTGGTTTACACCCTTCCAGTATTTCGTGTCCCTACAAAACTTCTGCAGGTGTGTTTTCTACGCTCGAGCAGGTTTACTGCGCTCAAGCGGGTCGCGTTTGAGTAGGATTGTTGGAGCTCGAGCGGGTGGTTCTTTTTCTGAAAAGTTCTGGGAGATGAAAATCTACGCTCGAGCAGACTGATTTTCACGCTCAAGCGGATGTACTTTATTCTTGTGTCTTGCGCTCAAGCAAATCTAGTTTTTGTTCTTGACGCTCGAGCATTATGTTTTCCGCTCGAGCGGGAATGTCGTATAACAGAGGGCAGCTGGGCATTTTTGAATCATTTTCTACACTTCCACTCTCTCTCTTACTTTTCCAAAACACCATTTGAGAGCTTCTCTCTCTAGAACCTTACCTTCTCTCTAGGGTTTGATCTAGCTAGGGTGTTCTCCTTTCCTTTGGCCTTTACAAAAAGGTTGTTGATCATCGAGGGCTATCTTTTGATCCAAGAATCTCGGGATTTGGAGCATTTCCGTTTCCTTCATCTTCTTCGTTGGGTTCCATCATTTGAGGTATGGATTCCTAATCACTACTATGGGTTTTAACCTAGATTTTTGGGCATTTTGTTAAATGGTTGATTTTGGAAAGTTAGGGTTTGAAAATGTTAAAAAGGAGTTTTGCTATTTTGATTCTAAAATGTGTATTTTGGGTTTCAAAATAACGAAATTGTTTTTAGTTGTTGGCATATAGACTATTGGGTCAATATTGGGAAATGGGGTAGAAAACCCTAATTGGTTGTATAAATTAATTGGTATGATTAATTTGGGAAAATTGTCGTTATACGGAATTGAGTTTGAAATAATGAAATTGGCTCATTATATAGTAGTATAGTGGAGTTGGATTTATTAATCGCTCACTTTTGAAAACATTGATATGTTATCTGTTGGAGCTTTTATTATCTGTTTAGAAATAATTGCTTGGGCTACCGATGGAGGGTAGTTTTGATTGTTGTAGACAAAGCATGATGATTAGGCAAACTAAAACTAATCAATTAGATATGTCATAGAGTATGACGGTTAATAGAATACATTAGCATTATGTATTGATTGATTGTGTATATGACCTATGTGTATATACGTTGTGTGTGTGGGAGGAGATAGGGGATGTACTCCACGGTTTAGGGGAAGATAGGGGATGGACCTCTAAACCGGATGTTGTTTGGGAGGAGATAGGGGATGGACTCCACTGATACAGCTCATATGCTTGTCAGTTAACGTGTTGATATAGCTTATATGCTTATCTACGGAAGTGTTGATACAGCTCATATGCTTATCTTTGGAAGTGTTGATATAGCTAATATTCTTATCTGTTGAAATGTGGATACAGCTTGCATGCTTATTTGTTGAGATGTTGATACAACTAGTATGTTTATCTATTGTAAAATGGGAAACGTTTAATATGAGTCACTGTCTCATATAAGTGGTTGGCCAGGTTCTGAGTCGTTAATGCAAATTGTGAAATTGATAAGAAATGGAAAATGAAATGAAACATGAACATAGTGGTCATGAAATGGAAATGGGTTATGAATTGATTTATGGAAATTGAACATTTATCAATTGCTAATGTCTTAGTTACTGCTCATACTGTGTTTAGCATATCTCTACTGGGCGTTTGCTCACCCTATATGGGACATTATTTTCAGGTACAGATAGTATGCCACCTCCAAGGACATAGCTTGGATGATGATGAGAGTTGAAGACTCCTTTTGTTTATTTTGTTTGTATTACATGTATATCAAGCCAAGGGTTTATTTTGTATAGAGTTAGTACTCTTCTTTTGTGTAACCAGGTGTTGACTTGGAAAGCTGTAAGCCCATAGGGCATTCCCTTTTATTGTTAACATGTAATACTGTTGTAAGAACTACTCTGATGAATAGAATTGGTTGGTTTCTTTTATATCAACGCATGTCTAAAGTGATGGTTTTATGTATTATTTTGAGGGCGTTACAATGAAATTGATTGTACTATAATAAATAAATATCCTAATGAATATTTAAATTCATTAGATCCTCCTGGGCTATCGGCTTTTAAGCTAGAGTTGAAAGTAGGTTGTCTTATAATGTTGTCAAGAAATATTGCACCAAAAGGTAGACTGTGCAATGGCACAAGATTGATGGTTTCTAGATGCAATACTCGCATAATTGAAGCTCAAATTTTAACTGGAGAAAAATTTGGCAATTTGGTATTCATACTAAGGATATCTTTGACACCGTCTTCTTCAGAAATGCCTTTCCGAATGACAAGACGTCAATTTCCAGTTCGATTGGCATATGCCCTGACCATAAATAAATCTCAAGGGCAATCTGTGAAATTTGTTGGAGTTGATTTGCGCACACCAGTGTTTAGTCATGGGCAATTGTATGTGGCCCTATCTAGATGCACATCTTTTGATCGTATAAGTGTCCTCCTTCCTAATGATGAGCCAGATTTTACTACAAACATTGTTTATCCTGAAATTTTGTTATAGTGTTACTTATGGATCAAACCACTTTTGTCAAAAGGTACAATTTATTTATTGATAAATTTGTTTCTATTAATTATAAATTGTTATTTTAAAAATATTTTACTATATGTGTCGACTTTTGTAGGATTGGGTTAAAAAATATATGGAGCTCAAAAAGATAAATACAACTACATTGCTTCGATGTGGATGTAACAAGGTAATTTCAATTTGAAAGTGTTTTGATATATTTATATAAATTTTCTTTTACTAATATACTAACTTTTTTTATTTTCATAAATTAGTAGATTGTCGTGCATGCTCCTTACTGGGGATACATTCAAGTTGGTACAAGGACTTTTTGGAAAGTGATGAGGCGCTCCTAGGATTTCTAAGAAAGAACAAGTTTGAATCTTATATTTATTTTTGTAAAAAGCGTAGATATGCGAGCTACGATCCATATTTTATAAAGTTTTCGATCGATGTGAAATTTATTACTTACAATAGTTTTGTAAAGCCTTTTATCTATGTGAAATTTATAACTAAGTTTAGATGTATGTTAGACAATATTCATTTGAATTATTGACTTATGCTATGAGTTTATTTTTGTAAATGTAACACATTAGGTGATATAGTCTTTTTGTCTTTTTGTTTTTTTGTTTTTTCTTCCTAATATGCTCTTGAATTAGGTTAAAGAAAACTAATAATATTTTTATTTGGTTGAATTTGAATTTTTGCCTCCATATATCTTTTTATCAAGAAGGGTGTTGCATTTTTTTGTATTACAGAACATTGGCTGGTGTGCTTAATTTGTTATTTGAAATTTTTTTGTATTGCAGAGCACTGGCTAGTGTGCTTAAATTGTTATTTGGCATTTTTTTTTGTATTGCAGACCATTGGCTGGTGTGCTTAATTTGTTGTTTATTTTTTTCTATTGCAGAACATTGGCTGGCGTATATAGATGTTTCTGTGTTGTGGGACTTACATTTTGTTGTTTGTTTAAAATCTTATACTTTTATTGTGCTTGAATTTTACGTAACATTTATGTGTTTACTTTTCACTATTTCGTTTACCTATAAATTTGAAAATTTTATGTTTAAATTGATTTATTCACCAAGTAGCATACAATTTATTTATTTTTCATTTATTTAATTTTCTGCATAATAAACTGACCACCAAACCATAAAAATTGGTAGATTTTAACCATTACATTAAAATTGATATAAAACTATAGCTATGAGATCTCGCTTCTTTATTTCAACCAAAACTCACTATCTAAAAAAATGTGGATATAGAAATTTATTTGGCTACTGTTATTGGTCAGGATAATAAAATTCTTATTTTCTATTACAAATTGCAAGTGGGTTACATAAACAAAAATACTATAATAGTAAATATTTGGTGATATGATCTTTGTTTGCATTTGTGTCATCACTATTTTTACATTTTCTTGGCCAAGGTAATAATTGTGTCATCACTATTTTTAATTTCTCCATCTCTCTAAATTTTATAATGCAAAATATTTAAATTGAGTGGATCTGAAAAGTGAAAAATATTGATTAAAATATTAAAAATTTCACTAAAAATAATAAAATACAAATTAAAATTTTACAAACTATTTTTTGAAACTCTAAAAGCAAGTAAGTTTTGAACTTTAAATTTGTAAAAATTATTTTTAATTTTTAACATATACAACCAAACAAAATTTTGAGTTTGACAAACTCTTTTCAAAAATCTAATTATAAAATTCATTTGAAAATCCATAACCATACGGATCATCTATTTATATTTTCACCTCAAATTTTTTTTCCCAACAAATTAAATAAATTACATTTTAACCCAACATTTTTATATTCAATTACATTTTCATTCCAACAATATTTTCACCGTGCCTTCAAGCACGGGCATGCCCTAGTAAATGTACAATTGTGCATAAGCTGCATCTTGCCCTGATTGTGGTAGTAGTGATCCTGTTTGATGTCGCAATTCCCAATGGATAGTGAATAATGTAGGGCCTCTTCCAGTAAGTACTCTTGGATCTAATGTAGCACCAAGACTTGTAAAAGCATTTGTTGCATTGTACACTCGAGTATAACGTCGAAATGATTTTGATTTATCATCATTCCCATCATATAATGCTTGAAGAAGTGAAGGGGGTGTAATAAGCGGAGGAAGCTTAACTTTCCCTTTTGAACAACATGTTCCGAATAGAGGACAGTTTGGAGATGATTTTACTAATTTTTCATCCATCCAATGTAATGCTGAACAGAAAGGACATAATACATCCATCTTGCCAAGAGAATGACGACATGAATTTATATGTGCTCGAGTACTAACCATTGGACTCATATGCATATCCTCTAATTCCTCATTAGTACATAGATCCTCTTGAAGGGAAGGAGTTGTAAGAGTAGGCCTACAAATATTGGTTCTGTGTAAATTAAAATAGAATGGTAATAGTAGGAGTATGTATTTGAAGAATTAAACACAGTCTTTTACCAATTCGTTTGTGGAGCTAAAGATGTGCTTGGCATTGAGAACGAACATGTGGAAGGATGTGCAACCATTGTTCGTTTTTGCCTTGGCCTTTTCCTTTTCCTTTGCCTACCAAAAATAAATAAAAAAAATTTAATCAGAATATGAAAAAAGAACATGTATTTATAGAATTTATTAAGATTACGAAAAAAGAATATGTTGAACCTGATTTTTCTACTCACCTTAGAATTGCGGATAACATTAAGATTGCACTCATCGCGAATAACAACACCGACATTCCTAGTCTCATGAAGGAATGGGCTTGCATGAGTAGGCCTACAAATATTTGTTGTGTACAAAATAAAATTTATAAAATAAAATCTTAACAATAAGAATATGCATTTGTAGAATTAAATACAATGTTTTACCAATTTCTTTGTAAAGCTAAAGATGTGCTTGGCGAAGTAAGATGTGCAAACATTACTCCTTTCTGAGTCGGTGGAGTATTAGTTGTGCTCGGTGGAATCAATTCTCTCGATCTCTCTCGTTCACGTCGCGAACGTTGTCCCAATTGATATGAAGAGCTTGCCTTATCATTTCTTTCGCGTTCTCATCGTGCACGTTGAGCCAATGCAGCTTTCGATATAACATTATTGTTATGTGCCTAAAACATGAAGATTAATTTCATAAGATGCCTAAAATATGAATATTATCATCTACTTTTCTCTTCATTTTTCATTTCTATTAATTTACTTTATCTTAATTCCCTTTCCTTCTGATATTTTGTAAAACAATTGAAAACTTTTTCATTTTGTATCCTTCCCCCCCTTCATTCCTTTTTTATTCTATTCCTTTTTTCTTCTCTTGTAGATGTTCATGTCAATAGCAAAAAGCCAAAAAAGAATAATAACAATTTAAAACAAATATAATGCTTTTGTACAAATGCTATTTTAGCATGCTTCAAAAAAAATGTTTCACAAATTTACATGAAACTATTTACTATAAAAACAGTATATGTCACTGTGCAAGTAGTATGCCAATTTTACATTTAAAAATAAATAAATAAATAATCGAGGTTCATGGTCCAAAATAAATATTTCAAAAAAAGAACTTTAAATGGAAATGTTGAAGAGCCATACTACTGGACATGCATTTTCCTTTCCCTTTCCCGAAACGGTGGTCTTTTCGTTTTTCTTCAACAATGCCTTGGCAATTTCCTTTTCCTTTGCCTACAAAAAATAAAAAAAAAGTATATGTAGAAAGTTTTTAAAAAATATATAAATAAGAATATACGGTGTATATACGGGCCTAAGTTGCACAAGTCCCTTGTATTGGAGGACTCTAAACTTTCGCAGTACTTTTGACCAAATGATTACGGATCGTACAGCCTTGACACTCGAATGATGAATACGGTTCATCCCTTGCTTCGCCGATGTTATGACACTTGAATGATGAATACGGTTCATCCCTTGTTTCGCCGATGTTATGATATTTGAATGATGAATACGGTTCATCCCTTGTTTTGTCTATGTCAGTGAACATCTTTGGTTACTTGTAACATTTGATTGATGAATACGGTTCATCCCTCGTCTTGCTAAGTCAATGTGTTCGTTTGAAGGATCTCGGCTATAGTCATGCAAAAACCTTTATTGTTAGTACCATTCACTGAGTTTTGTACTCACCCCTCTATATATATGTAGGTGATGAGCAGGGCGGCGGCGACGCCTAGATCGTTTTGGATGCTTGTTTTGGATTCGTACTTATGTCGGTTTTACTTTTGTATTTACGTCGGCGATGCTCTGCTTTGCATGTCTGCAAATCTTGAAAATCATGCTTCTTGAATTGTATTAACTGTATTTTGTATATGTCGGCTCGAGAAGCCTTTTGATCAAGATGTAATATGTAATTTTACTTGTTGTATTCAAGTTGTAAGTTAATTGAAAATGTTTGGCATTGCTTTGATCTACGCACAGCTCTTTGGACCACTTGTATTTTGAATTATCACTTCCGTATTTGTTAGCCCCGATTATTATTATACTCTGATTGTGTTAAGTTTTCGAAAAGTTGGCCTTCGGTAATTACGGATTACTGGCCATCACGGCACCAAACTACTAGGGGCAGTTTGGGGTCGTGACAGAAGATCTCCAGTGGGAGAGTTGAGAAGGGTTTGACGGTGTATCCCGACCAGAGTGTGAGATACCGAGACCGTTTGTTTGTGCCGGAGTCTTGCCGAGAGGAAGTACTCCGAGAGTTCCATCACTCACGCCTTGCGGTGCATCCGGGAGGCACTAAGATGTATCGGGATTTGGGTCGCCAGTTTTGGTGGCGGGGTATGAAAAGAGATGTGGCTGTTTTCGTGTCTAAGTGCCTTACTTGCCAGCAAGTGAAGGCCGAGCATCAGAGGCCAGCGGGTTTGTTGCAACCCTTGCCTATTGCCGAGTGGAAGTGGGAGCATGTCACCATGGACTTCGTTGTAGGTCTTCCGAGGACTCAGCGGGGTAGTGATGCCATTTGGGTGGTTGTAGACCGGTTGACTAAGTCGGCGCACTTCATTCCCATGCGTGTGAGAGATTTGGTAGATTATCTCGCCGACTTGTATATTCGGGACATAGTGAAATTGCACGGGGTCCCAGTGACGATCGTCTCAGATAGGGATCCTCGTTTTACTGCTAGGTTGTGGCAGAGTTTGCAGAGTGCCTTGGGCACTAAGTTGACCTTTAGTACGGCTTATCATCCTCAGACTGACGGGCAGTCCGAGCGTACTATTCAGATCCTTGGGGATATGCTTCGGAGTTGTGTCCTTGACTTTAGTGGGACGTGGGAGAGGCATTTACCATTGGTAGAGTTTGCCTACAACAACAGTTTTCAGTCTAGCATCGGTATGGCACCGTTTGAGGCCTTGTACGGCCGACCGTGTAGGTCTCCAGTGTGTTGGGCCGAGGTGGGTGATGCACCTTTGTTGGGTCCGGAGTTGGTTAGGGAGACGATGGAGAAAGTTGAACTTATCCGTAGGAGGCTTGTTACAACCCAGAGTCGTCAAAAGAGTTATGCCGACCGTAGGAGGAGGCCTTTGGCGTTCGAGGTAGGTGATCATGTCTTCTTGAAAATATCACCTAGGCGAGGTTTGATGAGATTTGGCAAGAGTGGGAAGTTATCCCCTCAGTTTATTGGTCCTTTTGAGATCTTTGACAGGATTTGCGAGGTTGCCTATCGTTTAGCCTTGCCGCCGCAGTTGTCCGGAGTGCATGACGTGTTTCATGTGAGTATGCTTCGGAAGTATGAGCCGGATCCGTCTCACGTGTTAGATTGAATCGATTTAGAGGTAGATGAGGATGCCTCGTATGAGGAGAGACCGGTGCGGGTCTTGGATAAGCAGGATCAAGTCCTGCGTGGCAAGACCATCCCTTTGGTAAAGGTTTTGTGGAAACATCACGGAGTGGAGGAAGCCACTTGGGAACGTGAGTTGGAGGTCTGCGAGAAATATCCGGACTTGTTTATGGATGAGTAATCTTGTATTTAAATTTTGTAATGTTGTTGGACTTAAGAGCTTTATATATGTCTTGAGTTGTAAAACATTGGTAATGTTTTGGTTTAATGGAAGTATGTTGAAGAACTTACCTTGATATGGGAGTTGATTATGATATTGCATATGTTGGCTATATTGTAGAATTGGAGTTGTATCATGTATATTGATTATGATATGAACTGTGAACCATGTATGTTGGAAATGGTTGGAAATGGAAGAAAATTGCAAGTTGATAATGCACTTGTAATATATGTTGTGAAATGCCTCTTGAAAAGAGATGGAATTGACCGGTAATGGGTCGAAATGTTTAATATTATGTCGTAATATTGTTGAGAATGGAGAAAACCTATTTTCAAAAAACTTGTGTTTAATTTCTGGAACGAAATTCTTTAAGGGGGGGAGGTTATAACGATCCCGGTTGTCCCTTTACTGTTCTATTGTATTCCGGACTCGGTTCCATGAAGTTGGTAGTGGCATCTATCTTGTTGCCATCCTTTAATTCCACTTGATTGAGTTTTAGGATGTTTTGAGCAGGGTTGTTACAGGTTGGTTAGGCCTTGGTTTCAATTCCTTGTTGTCCAGTTTTTAGACGATCCGCTCGAGCGGGTCTTCTTACGCTCGAGCGGGGATTGCACACCTCCAGTATTTCAAGTTCCTGTAAAACTTCTGCAGATGTGATTTTTACGCTCGAGCGGGTTTGTTTACGCTCGAGCGGGTTTGTTAGCGCTCGAGCGGGTAGTACTTTCTGGGTATAAATTCTGGGAGGGGGAAATCTACGCTCGAGCGGACTGGTTTTCGCGCTCGAGCGGAAGTGCTTTATTCTTGTGTCTTGGCGCTCGAGCGGGACTTATTGCGCTCGAGCGTGTCCAGATTTTTGTTCTTGGCGCTCGAGCGTTGTGTTCTCCGCTCGAGCGGGTCATGCGTATATGAGTTATCTGCTGGGTGATTTTAAATCACTTTTTACTTTCCTTTCTCTCTCCTACTTTTTCTAAAACCCATTTTGAGAGCTCCTCTCTCTAAAACCTTGACTTCTCTCTAGGTATTGATCTAGTAGGAGTGATTTCCTCACCTTTGGCCTTTACAAAAAGGTTGTTGATCGTCGAGGGCTATCTTTTGATCCGAGAAATTCGTGGGTTGGAGTATTTTCGTCTTTTTCACCTTCTTGGTTGGGAGTCATCTTTTGAGGTAGGGATATCCTACTCCTCTTTATGAGTTTTGTCTTTAAATTTTGGCATTTCGATATGTTAGGGGTTGTTGGGTAATTTTGAAAGAGTTTGGGCCTTTGTGTAATTTACAAAAGTTGGGGTTTTAACTATATAAAACCTAGTTGCATGTGTGGCATGGAAAAGTGAAATTAATGATAAAACATTAATGAAGATGGAACCTAAGGGTCGTAATGTAAATTATGGAAAATGCCCTAATTACATTGGTTAATTAATTCGCATAATTAATTATGAGAAATGAGGAATTGGTTTGGAAAGATATGGGACTAAAGGGTGTAGTTGGATTATTTATCGCTCACCTAGTTGAAATGTTGATTATATATCCATTGTTGCATTTATTTTCTGCACAGAAATAACTGCTTTGGGCTATCGGTGGAGGATAGTCTTGATTGTTGTAGACAATGCATGATGATTAGGCAAACTGAAACTAATCACTGGAATGTGTCATTGAGTATGACAGTTGAAAGAATACATTAAATTTATGTATTGGGTGGTGATGTGTATAATTATTGTTTATATGCATGGTGTCGTGTTGGAGGAGATAGGGGA